ATAGCTGCTTTGCATTACATTATTACAAAGTCATGGCACTCCTTCCCAATGTTGTTCCAGACCCCACTGTGAAGACAATAGACATTTCATCTTCCTGTAGCAACCAGGTCTTGACAGCTTCACTGGAGATGGTACAAAGGACAGCCCTGAAATGCCTTCAGTAGGGTCTGTCAGCACAAAGCAGATTAAAAATCTATATACCTACCCCCTCTAACATGGCTACAGCACCTTGCCAAAGCTTCTTTGACCAAACTGTGACCTCCACAATATAAGACAAGGGAAGCAGGCACATGAAAACAAAATCACCTCCAAAATTCTCTCCAAGTCACACATTATTATGCAACAAGGTTAGACTTGGGCATAATATCATAATTTCTTCATTGTTGCAGGGTTCAAAATTTGGAAGTCTAGATCTTACAGTGTTGTTATTTTATTCATTCACGGGATGAGGGCGTCACTAGACCGGTCAGCATTTATTGCCCATTCCTAATTGCCCAGAGGACAGTTAAGAGTCAGCCACATTGCTCTGGGTCTTGAGTCACATTGTAGTCCAGACCAGATAAGGATGGCAGATTCCTTCCCTAAAGGACATTAGTGAACCAGTTGTGTGTTTCCTGATAATCAATAATAGATTCATGGTCATCACTCGATACTTAATTCTAGATTTTTTAAAATTGAATTCAAATTCCACCAGGATTTGAACCTCGGTTCCCAAAATATTACTTGGATCTCTGAATTAACAGTCTGACATTACTACCAGCAGGCCATCGCCACCCCATGGTACATTTTGGTGTACTTTCATCTGCAGTGTCCAAGAAGCAGGCCAACTACCATGCACTCACGCTCGTGGAGAACAAGGAAAATGCAACAAATACTGGCATCGCCAGCAATGTTCTTATCTTAAGAAAGAACAATAGAATTTTTTTTATTGATTCACGGATTGAGGGTTTCACTGACTAGGCAGCATTTATTGCCCATCCCTAATTGCCCAAAGGGCAGTTCAGAGTCAACCACATTGCTGTGGGTCTGGAGTCGCATGTAGGCCAGACCAGGTAAGGATGGCAATTTCCTTCCCTAAAGGACATTAGTGATCTTCAGGGTCATCACTGGACTCTTAACTCCAGACCAGAACATTACCTCGGTCTCTGGATTAACAGTCCAGCGATAATACCACTAGGCCATCGCCTTCCCCGGGGCAAGGAAGAAGGAACTCTAAGATCATACGTTTTTTGCTTCTTATGTAGTTCACCCATTGCATGCCATGACCAAGTCCATTTTAAATCTATATCTGTTTATGCCGCATTTCTGTGAAGTGATATGATTGATCACGTTATGTTCAAATGAAGAATCCATTAAGTTGCTTATATAAAAATGTAATATGTGTGTGATTGTTGCTAAATGTTGAGATGATCGTTATTTTTCTTTTATTTTTCTCATTTTTGGTTTGAAACTGAGTTGCTGTTGAGAATTGAATTTTGAACTTTGAACAGCAACATGTTTTGAAAAAAGAGGAGAAAACAAAACTGGCCTGGAAAGATAATGCAGGTTAATCACTGCTCTAAGAATACTGTAGATAAACCCACACCAAGAAGCTGTTGTGCTCGGGGACTGGCAGCTGGTTGGATGTTGAATTGGGCAGTCAAGGGAGGACCAGTATTGGCCAGCCAATCGCAGAGAATGTTGAAAAAGAAAGAGAATAAACAAAGGGTAAACTGGCTATGATTGGGTTTTGGGCAGGAGGCAGGCTTGCTTCACAGCTGTCAGATTGGAAGCTTCAAATAAGGGGAGCGTTGTCCATCTACCCTGTCTATGCCCTTCCTAATTTTATTTGTCACTATAACCTGCTCAGTTATGCCCAGGTTGCATTCCGTCGCTCAGCTCCTGACCTCATTGCAGCGTTGGTTCAAACATGGACAAAAGAGCTGAATTTCAGAGGTGAGGTGAGAGTGACAGCCCTTGACATCAAGGCTACATTCAACTGAGTGTGGCATCAAGGAGCCCTAGCAAAACTGGAATTAATAGATATTAGAGGGAAAACTCTCCAGTAGTTAGAGTCATACCTGACACAGGATAATGGCCATGGTTCTTAGAGGTCAGTCATCTCAGCTCCAGGACATCTCTGCAGGAGTTCCGCAGGGTAGTTTCCTAGGCCCAACAATCTTCAGCTGCTTCATCAATGACCTTCCCTCCAACATAAGGTCAGAAGAAGGGATATTCGCCGATGATTGCACAATGTTCGGCACCATTCGTGATTCCTGAGACACTGAAGTAGTCCGTGTCCAAATGCAACAAGCCCTGGTCAACATCCAGGCTTGGGCTGACAAGTGGCAAGTAACATTCATGCCACACAAATGCCAGGCTACAACCATCATGAACAAGAGACAATCTAACCACTGCTCCTTGACATTCAATGGTGTTACCATCACTGAATTCCCCCAATATCAACATCCTGGGAGTTTTCATTGATCAGAAACTCAACTGGACTCACCACATAAATGCAGTGTCGACAAAAGCAGATCAGAGGCTAGGAATACTGTGGCGAGTAACTCACTTCCTGACTCCCCAAAGTTTGTCCACCATCTACAAGGCACAAGTCAGAAGTGTGATGGATGAGTGCAGCCCCAACAACACTCAAGAAGCTTGACACCATCCAGGACAAAGCAGCCGCTTGATTGGCACTGCATCCACAAGCATCCACACCCTCCACCACTGACACTCAGCAGCAACAGTGTGTACGATCTACAAGGTGCGCTGCAGAAGTTCACCAAAGATCCTCAAACAGCACTTTCCAAACCCACGACCACTTCCACCTAGAAGGGCGAGGACAGCAGATATTTGGGAACACCACCCCGTGCAAGTTCCCCTCCAAGCCACTCACCATCCTGACTTGGAAATATATCACCATTCCTTCACTGTCGCTGGGTCAAAATCCTGCAATTCCCACCCTAATGGCATTGTGGGTCAACCCACCGCAGGTGGACTGCAGCATTTCAAGAAGGCAGCTCAGCACCACCTTCTCAAGGGCTACTGGGGACTGGCAATAAATGCTGGGCCCAGCCAACGACACCCACATCCCATAAAATTAACAAATAAAAAAAAATCCTGAATCCCCTCAACCTTCTGTGGTCCAAAGATAACAAGCTGAGCTTACCCAGTCTCTCTTTATAGCTTAGTTGCTCCATTCCATGCAACATCCTGGTGAATCACCAATGCAGTCAGATCCTTCTTAAAGTGTGGAAACCAGAACTGTACACAGTACTCCAGCTGTAGGTTAACCAAAATTCTGTACAGCTTCAATATAACCTCCCTGCTCATAATCTATGCCTTGACTGATAAAGGCAAGCATCCTGGATGGTGTATAAACTACCCTATTAAACTGCCCTGCTGCCTTCAGGCATCTGTGAATTAGCATCCTGAGATTCCGTTGTTCCTCTTGAGCTTCCTGTTGTCTGCCATTCATTGAGTATTCTTATTGCTTATTCCATAGTGCATCACCTTGAATTAACCTGAAGTAAAATGGAAGAAAAATGAGAGGGAAGCCACAAATCAACACAGACAAGTTGTAAAATCAAGCTAAATGAATCTGATAATTTGCCAGGCTTTTAGGGGGAATTGAAGAAACCATGATAGTTGCTTAATTATCATAAGAACCAAATTGGTTTACTAGTTCAGGAGGAGAATCTGTCAGTGCTGACAGAAGACAACAGAAGGAGAGAGAGAGTGTTGGGAGAGGCAGGGGGTGAAGGAGAAGGATTTTCTTACATATTGGCTCCTAGAAATTGATTTTAACTAGTATTGAGACTAAACTGTGCTCATCTCAGGAAGACATCACAAGAGGTCTTTTCCAAGGGTAAACTGAAAATCCTTGACAATAGTTCTCCTGGAGGTGTAAATAGCTCTTCCTAGCTCACTACAAACCGATAATGAAAGTTATCAAGCTAATGGCTGAGACCATTAAAAAGTTAATTACCTCGGTTGTGATACAATAGCTCGGCATGTGCTTGAGGCTAGGCAAGTCTTATATCTAATAGGGAAGCATGATTGACCAGGTTTGGGATACCAACCAGGTTAAGCTTTGATCTGTGTGGAACAGATCATGAACAACCGTCTTGTGCAGAACACCTCTAGGAAACATTTTAAGAAACACCATCAGAGAGAGGACTCTCAACACGGAGATGGAGTATGGCAAACCATTGTATTGAACCAAGCTACCAGGTGCTACAACCTGAAGTACTATTAAAGCAAAACAAAGGAGCTTGCATTCCACCTCAGAATCTATTCTACTGAATCACCTGTGGGACACCCTCCAGCCATATCACTATAGAAGCCATTGCGGCTGCTGAGTTCTGATTTAATTTTTCAACCCCTTCACTTTGAATTGTGAACCTTCAAATAAGAGAACAAATCTGCAATAATCTTGGAGACTGATCTCACCTTAATGTTTATAAGTATCTTTTTCTTTGCTCACATGCTTTTGAATTTTCTATATGTATTTTAGCTAATAGCCTTGTTGCTTTTACTCGAATAATTACAGCAGTAGTTTCACAATAAACTAACCACCTTGTTTAGGATCAAAACATTGTTGTCCTTTTTTAAAAATTAAAACACCTGTAAATTAAAATGGAGCCTTAATGAGCAATAATTTGTAGTTCACTAACCACTGTGAGGACAAGTGTGGTTGTAACAATAACTAGCATAAGCAGTATGGAGATAGGCTGCTGCCAGGAGTAAATCGATTGTAATAACTGCATGCCGATGTGACTTAATATTTAAACACATTTGAATCAGTATCACTTAAAGCACTCTATCCTGCATCTGCCAACTGAACCACTAGGGGTGGCAGTGTATTCAGTCCTGAAGAAGTTAAGCATCCCAGTTGAAATAGATATTAAGTTTAATATTAAAGGAGGAAATGGACTTTATCGGGAAAATATCTCAGTTTCATGGTGCTTTGGTAGTTCTTGGGGAATAATCTTAATTCCTTTCTCTGTATTTTGCAGACAAACTGAGCAACCAGGACTGTTACAACAGCTTCACAAACAACAACCTAGGAAATCCACGGCTCTCACCAATCCCAACTCTGACGATTGTTTTGCCCCTGGCGCAGATCAAACAGCCTATGACACTGGGAACCATCACAAAGCGTACAGGGTAATGGATTTTGACTTAAGTTTCCAGTATGATTTTAGCAGCACAAGCAACCAAACAGATTAACATAAAACATATGTATAGACATCAGTCTCGCTTGCTCAGCAAATCCACATGCAAATTAAATAAATGACAAGGCCGTCTGTAATGCGTTTTCCACCATAATAAGCTCTACCAGATTTGACTATGTACTGCATATGTCCTATACTGTTGGTATCCTGATAATTTAAAAAGGTGGAACAAGTGCAGGTGGCACCTTTAGGGAGGCCCAAAAGTTAATAACACGAAAGTTCAAAATACATGATCTTCAGAGTATGCCAGTTACTTAAATGTACGACAGGAATCAATTAATTTTGAGGCACTGCATCATCAGTGAAATATGTGGTAGTTTGAAGAAAAATACATGTTGGTATATAAAATATAGTGTGTGCAGCAGACTGCCATGGAGGCAGATGGTGTTAAAATGCAGTTTGGTAGATTATAGGGTTTGGAGGTTGAAAAATAACTTGCTTTTTTTTTGTTTAGATCTCACAGAAGCTTCCCCATTGCCTAAAGTGGTCTTTTCCTGTGATATATATCATAATGCTTCCATTTGATTTCTCTTTATTTTCAGCATTGTAGGTTAGCATGACAACATAAAATAAAACAATAATTTGGTCAGCATCTTGATGGGGACAACAAGGATAAGTTAGGTTTTCAGCCAAATGACTTCATCAGAACGCTAATTAAATGGTGACAGCCAAGCATTAATTCATATCTTTCCATTCAGAAAAACAAATTTTGATGCAACTAATCTCGTGCAGTGAGATGACCTGGGACTGCTGGGTGAAACTTGAAACCCCTAGTTTTCATGTATTTGAAAACAGCGTGTTGACCCTGACATTTTTGTACTGGATTTTTATACATATACATATAATTGTCCAAGTGCACAAATGTGTAGGAGAAGCAGAAGGAAAGAAGAAAGAGCTGTGGCAAAACATTTGTATAGTTATCAGTTACTTATTAAACTGGACTCTTATGAAGGCTTTATACCCAAGATGTTAGGCTTATGTCTGGCATTTCTAGTTTCTAAACACATCTTTCTATGTCAGATGTTGGGATTGATGAGACAAAGATGTGACCAGAAATGGATTGTTGTCCATTACACTTGAATAGCTCTTTTAACATTTGGAGAATTTCAGGAGTAAAGTGTGGAGATTGTTTACGCATGGTGAGATGCTTACTGTAGAGCTAGTACAGACACAATGGGCTGAAGAGCATCCTGCGCTATAACACTTCCATGATTCTGTTTAAGATGTTCTTACCAGGAGGAAGACAAAAGTAATCTATTGACAAATTATGTGATATTTCTTCGAATAGATGTATACATAGACACACTTAATTTATTTGTATGATGGTGTTGGTTTGACTTAATTGCCAGTCACCTTTACTCAATGTCAATTGGTGTTATGGCTTCAAATCTTATTTCAGGATTTAATAGTCTAATCTATGGTGCAAATCTTAGAGGACACTGCATTGTTGGAGTAGGTGGCACCTTAAGGGAGGCCCAAAAGTTAAGAACAAGAAAATTCAGAATAGATAGTTTGCAGGAGTATGGCAGTTACTTAAAAGTACTGCAGGAATCAATTAATTGTGGGTTAGCTTTTGACTGCAACTTTACACCCATGTTTCATATAGCTGTTTATATGGATGTTGGATATCTTATGGCACCGTCTTTAAATTTCACTGGGATTGTGCTCCGCAAATCATGCTGCATTATTACCATATCACAAATGTGAAAAGAATTAAACAGTTCAGAGTCCCCAGGTTAAAAAATAATGCTCATCAGGTTTCTGCATTTAACAAGAAAATAATTTTATTCATAGCAAGTTGTCTTTAACCAATTAGAAATGAGTAAATGTGAATTGTTAACGTAAAAATATTTTTATAATTTAACTCTGCCCATTTCAATTCTCCCCTGCACAATCAGTCAGACACACAAAACATCGGTATTAAGGGTGGAAAAGGGAAAAAAAAAACAGGGAAATACAGATCAAAGCACCAGTCTGGACCACAGGGAGTGCTTCCTAGCTCCTTCCAATTTTAGTTCTTTGTTGTTGACATAGGTTGTTTGAACACTGATGCTCTCTTTTATTCACTGATTGAGAATTTGTCTTTTCAGTTTTGTTTGAAGGCATCTTATTTCTCCTTCAAAAGATATTTACAGAGTAAAGTGAGTAAAAGACAGAGCTTGTTATTACTGGCATTTTTCTGGTACCTCCACACAGGGGAAAGACAAATTTTTTGCTGCTTTCTCTTTGGGTGGTTCTGTGCTGCACTAGTCCTGCACAAGCCATGGATAGGAGCCAATCAGAACACTGTTGTCAAGCAGCTTTCCCTTTTTTCAGAGCACAGCAGCTCTATTGTACCAGCCACTCATACTGCTCTAGGAAAAATGCAACATTGTATACAACTCACAATATGCCCCAGTAAGTATGACTTTTGAAACTGCAGTCATCTCTTGCACAGTCTCCTTTGTTTAAAGTAGCATCTTCCCTTTTTAGTCCAAAGTCAAAACATGAAGGAAATGAAAAGATATTGTCTTTACAGGACTGAAAGAGTGAGGAGCATTCCTGTTAAAGAGACCAAAATATTTTCCCCAAACAATACAAGTTCAAGAGGCTTTAAACTAGTTTGGGGGTGAGTGGGTGGGGGTGGGGAAGGGGTTGGAGGGAGAGGCAGAGGGTGGGTTGGTGGGGGTACCTTCACAGCAGTGAGAAAAAAAGGGAAGGTTGGTACAGAAGTTAAACGGAGCAAGTTAAATAGACAAGAGTATGATACAGAATGAGGAACAAGGGATGAATTAAACTGCATTTATTTCAAAGCAAGAGGCCTGACAGGTAAGGCAGATGAACCTAGGAACGTGGAGATTGAGATATCATAGCTATTACAAAACATGGCTCAGGGAGGGACAAGACTGGCAGCTCAGTATTCTGGGGTATAGGTGCATAGAAAAGATAGAAAAAGAGTCATGAGGTGAGGGGGAATGGCCCTTTTGATGAGGGAAAACATCATGACTGTACTTATAGAGGATATTCCTGGGGGCTTGTACAGTGAAGCTACATGCGTGAAATTGAGAAATAAGAAGGGGATGATCACCCACATGGGATTGTACTATAGGCCCTCCAACAGTCGGTGAGATATTGAGGAGCAAATATGTAGGGAGGGATGGAGGGTTTCCACTTTTAAAAATAGGCTGGATAGGCTTTTCTCACTGGAGTGTAGAACGTTGGGGGTTGACCTTACAGAGGTTTATAAAATCGTGAGGGTCATAGATAAGGCGAATAGCAAAGGTCTTTTCCCTAAGGTGGGAGAGTTCAAAACTTAGGGAGCAGGCAGGATGCAGGAGGCAAACATCATTAAAAATTAATCCCAATGCATTGGGAACCACAACATCTATCATGAAATGGGTCAAGATGCTGGATACTACAAAGTCTGTGTGTACTGACAACATTGTTGCAGGGTCAAAATCCTGGAATCCCTTCCCTAACAACGTCATGGGTGCATTTGCACCAAATGAATTGCAGCATTTCAAGAAGGCAGTTCACCAACACCTGCTCGCCACCAGGGATGGACGATAAAACTGCAGGATCAGGAGACTATACAAAAGGGACAACATTAGAGAAACATGAAAGGACCACATGCCCTTCAAAAATACTTGTCTAGAACATTTCTGGTGCATTTGCTTTACCTTTGTCTCCCTTCTGTATTTCCTTTGCCATGTGCTGCCCTTCATTGGCTATTTTAACATCAACAGTGAAACAACAGAAATGATTGCCACCACCAAAGGTTAGAGAGACAAGGGAATTCCAGAGAAGGAGATGTCCATGGGATTACGACAGCTGCACACATGCAATGAAAAAATCAGATGGTGAGAAGAGAAAGATTTAAAAAGGACATGAGGGGCAAGTTTCTTACACAGAGGGTGGTTAGTGTGTGAAATAAACTGCCAGAGAAGGTGATGGATGCAGGTACAGTTACAACGGGTAAAGGCATTTGGATAAGTACATGACGAGGAAAGGTTGGGAGGGATATGGGCCAAACTCAGGCAGGTGGGACTGGTTTAGTTTGGAAACATGGTCAGCGTGGACTAGTTGGACAGAAGGGTCTGTTTCCATGCTGTGTGACTGTATAACTATATCTGTAAGAATAATAGGGTTGTAATGGTAGGGGATTTTAACTTTGCAAACATAGATTGGGACAGCAATAGTGTTAAGGGCTTTGATAGGGAGGAATTTTTGAAGTGTGTTCAAGAAAATTATCTTTATAAAAATGTCGATGTACCGAATGGAGAAGGAGAAAAATTCAACCTACTCTTGGGAAACAAGGCAGAGCAAGTGCCTAAGGTGACAGTGGGGGAGCACTTTGGGGCCATTGACCATATTCTATTGGTTTTAAAATAGTTATGGAAAAGGATAGGCCTTGCCTAAAACTTAAAGTTTGAAATTGGAGCAAGACCAATTTTGATGGTGTTAGACAGGAACGTTCAAAAGTTGACTGGTGGAGGCTGTATGCAAGTAAGGGGACAACTGATAAGGAGAGGCTTTTATAAGTGAGTGAACATGAGTTCAGAGAAAATATGTTCCTGTTGGTGTGAAGGGCAAAGCTGGTAAGAATAGGGAACACTAGATGACTAGAGGTATTGAGACTCTTGTCAGGAAAAAGAAGAAGGCATGTGTCAGGTATTGACAGCTGGGATTGAGTTAATCCTTAGGAGAATATAATGGCAGTAGAGTCATTAGAGTCCATCAGCACAGAGACAGGCCCTTTGTCCCAAATGAGTCCATGCCAACCAAACATGTCCATCCTCGCTAACCCCGTTTCGCTGCACTTGGCCCATTTCCTTCAAAACCTTTCCTATCCATGTATTCATACAAATACCTTTTAAATGTCGTTAATGTACCCGCCTCAACCACTTCTGCTGGCAGCTCATTGCATATGCATACCACCCTCTGTGTAAAAAT